TTACATCATGAGCAAATGGAAAAATAAAGCTTTTGCCATTTTTGTTTATTTGTAAGGGTGTATGTTATTGTTATGCTATAGCTATAAAGTGTTAAATGCGTTAAAATACATAAATGCTATCCAATTACACCATTCGCAAATTGGAAAATAAATATATATATAATATTTTTTATTTTTTACCTTTTTTGCCTATATGATAAAATCAAATTTTCAGTTTTGGAGTGACATTTTTCAAGAAGGAAAACAAATTAATGTTTTTTTTTTTACTTTTGAACTAAATCGATTTATGACACAGGGACATAGGGTTACAAAAAGTCATAACCCTAATAACTATATATTAATAATACGCTTCTACCTTAATTTACGTGCTTGTCATGCTTTCTTCCGTTAATAATATAGAAAAATGAAAAATTTAAAGTTGCATTATTTTATTCCTGAAGAAATAGCAGATTTTGCCATTTTTTTTTTTTTACATTTAAATCAATCAGATCCTTAGGAACTGAACTGGGGGCATGGCACGTGCGGAAACGAATCGACTTCATAAGAAGAAATCTTACAAAATATTGTTTGTTTTTTTTTATTTTTTACAAAATTGCGAGGAAACCAATGTAAACAAACCAGCGAGATCGGTTTGTTTACATTATTACACGCTGGCCGTTCGCGTCCAGTTGAGGTGTTAAATTGAGATTTTAATTAACGATTAACAATTAAAGCTACGATTATGTCAGATGGAGCCCAGTAATATTTATAATCGAAATAAAATCCATATATATCGGTTATTTATCGATTTATGGGCGTCTTTATTTCCATACAGGTGTGTTCTTCCAATGTAAATTAGTGAGTAGTAAGGACGATAAAGTTACAGTTTAATTTTCATTTTACGTCCAGACTAGCGAAAGGATCGACCATAATTTTTTTTACATTTAATCAATCAGACCCTCGCGAATTGATCTGGGGGGAGGGGGTATATCTAAAGCATTTTAACCATTTCTTAAATAATTTTGTACTGAGCACTTTTTTGTTGTCTATACCTTTTTGTCCTTTTATATTTCTATCTATCTATCTATATATCTATATATCTTATCACCTAAAAATTCGGTCAGCATAGCTGTAGATGAAGAAATTCTAAATAGATTGCACACGGTAACTAAGTCATATCTAAGCACCGACTGTGTAACTTCTGATAATGAAGAAGACGCCCAGGATTACTCCATGGAGTTTATAAACTCTCTTACACCTTCTGAAATGCCTCCCGATCGCCTTAACTTAAAAGTTGGACTAATTATGATGCTTCTTAGAAACCTCTCTATAACACAAGGTCCACGCAATGGAACTTTCTTTGAAGTGTTTCAGCTCCACGAGCACATATCATCGAAGCGTCAATTATAATTGCATCTCACTCTCAGACGAGAGTACTGATTCCAAGAATCAAACTTAAAGCAAACGACGCAAACATTCGATTCGTTCTGAATTGGGACCAGTTACCAGTTCTTCTGTCCTATTCTATGAGAATCAATAAAGTAAAGGGGCAAACATTCGATAGAGTTGGCGTACACTTGCCACAGGCATGCTTCACCTATGGCCAGCTATACGTAGCATTTTCAAAAGTAAGTGCGATGAACAGTGTGAGAGTCAAAGTCATACCTCAAAAGGAATCAACTCATGGTCGCAGAAAAGGAATCACCTTCACTAAAAACATTGTATATAGGGAAGTGTTGTAATGGATGAATTTCCTGTATACTTTCACACAATAACTTAAAATATACTTATATTATTAAATATGAAATAATAGAAAAAATGATTTTTTATTAACCAAAATAGTGTAAAATAACTTCGATTAATTGATAAATATTCATTGGGCGATATTTAAATTATCCGTGAATTTTTTTATACATATATATATACATATATGTGTGTGTGTGTGATAGAATGGTTGATATTTGGACAAATTTGTGAGATAGAATTAGTAAAAATGTTTTAAACAACCAACTGATTTGCATGAATTCCATCTTATATTTTGGCGTGTGTGACTGAGAAGAAAATATGTATATTTAATAATTATCTACATTGTTGTTTTTCCACATTTTTTTTAATCTACAGACCAAATGCAAAATAAAGGATCCCCTCGATTTTTTTCTACACACATAGTGAACTCCCCCCACACACACAAACATATTTTTATGCCATAAATCATAAATTAAAATGTATAAATATAAAAAGGGGCACATAAATTTAGTTTGATCATTGCAGGTAATATAACTCAAATTTGAGACTGTGGACAGTTTAACATTTTTAAAAACGTAAGTCGTAAGTTGAAAGTACTGTATAAAAATGTTCGGTTCTCTGTAGAGCTCCCTTAAGTCCCTGACTCCTTATGTTATTCCCTAACTTATGCCAGATCAGGCCGAAAATGGGTTACTGTTGACATATTTGGTCTGGTGCTGCCCGATCCACACATTCTTGATAGACTGCAAAAAAACGTCTCCGAATTCTTGTTGAGAAAGAATTATTTTCCACCCTCCAAGCTCTCTCTGCTTCATCGTTACTCCCATAAAAAGTGTTTGGACGAATTACATTCCTTGGTTCCGCTAGGTCTATCCTTCACGGCTAGGATCCGCCAAGCCACTTATATTGTTGCAAACCACTCACTTTCCCTTTTTCCCTCCATATTCTATTGGTCAGAAGTACCACTCCAAAAAGCTTCTTTACGCGAAACAGCGCCCTATGGAATCAAGAGGATGTTTCCCCGATCAATACAATTTTAACCTGCTCAAGTCTAGAATCAAGCGTTATCTTTTCCCCACTATCCATAGAAAACTACCCCTTAACGTCGAGAACCCCACCGGGCCTTGTACAGGGTGAACCCAACTGCAAAAAATAAAATAAAAACAAAAAAAGAGTACGTATAAATTTAGTTTGATCATGTTCATTTATACGTACTCTTTTTTTGTTCATTTTCTTAATTATATTTGTGTATTCTTTAAACGTGCTTTCTTCTTTCCAAATGAGTAACTAAAAAAAAAAATGTTATTATATATCTGTAAGGTATCAAAATAACAACAGAAAATAATAAATCCATTATCGGATTTAAACAAAGATTTTTTTTTTTTTTTTTTAACTTTCGTTCCTTCAAAAAAATGAGAAACCTACGAAATTCATGCATGCAGAAAAAAAAAACTTGCTTAGAATTTGAAGCCACGTAGTTGTAACCAAAGAGCGAAAATACTATTTTAAACTTCGATTTGAAAAACATTCCTTCGTTTTCAAACTCTTTATGACAATGTTTATTTGCTTTTAAATAAGATATAATTTACATACAAAAAAGTAAAACAAATTATGAATATAAATGACAAAAAGTGTATAGAAAAAAAAAATATATATATATATATATCAAATTTGTGGTGCAGTTCAATTTATATTACAATAAATCATTCATACAAAGAGTCGATTAGTAAAGTTAATGATATAAAATAGCGAATTCCTTTCGCAAACAAAATTTTAAAGTTGCATTAACCTACGAATTATATACGAACAACCACACATTATATATATATATATATATATATATATATATATATATATATAGAGAGAGAGAGAGAGAGAGAGAGAGAGAGAGAAAAACAGAGAGAGCGAGAGATATGAATAACACCTACTTTCCCACTAATCCGAGTGCACTATTATTCTGTAACACCGCCATAATTTTCCCTTTCTTTCAATCTAATTTAAAAATAAAATAAATATTTCGTTCTGTATGTCACTCGATGTACTTGAATCCATTTTTCAGTGCGAAGGAGTTAAAAAAAAATTAAACACCACGGTGTTAACAAACAGCGTCATTTTTATAAAAATGAAAGTATGGCACTTCAGTAACCGGATCTGTAGGATCACTCCTCACTTGGCATGCCGGGATACTTATACATAGTTTATCATATTTTACTTCGTGATTTTGCTTCGTGTCAAAAAACGTTCCGTTATTTATAATGTCCGTTAACTCCTTTACTCACAGCTTCGGTTCAATTTGAGTTACCTCCCTTGGAACATATGTGAACATAAGTGGCTCGATTTGAGTTCAACTCCGTTACGGATGTAATGTGGGGAATTTAATAAGTCCATGAAATGTTTTTTTTCTTAATATTTAGCAAGTGGAAAGACAAATTTTCTTGATGAATCAATAAACTTTCTGAAATTTCTGCCAACAAGGTTTTTGTCATAATATTTGTGTGAGTCACATGACCGTGAAGTAACTGACTGTAATTGTGGTAAAAATATAAGCAATGACACAATAACATTGTTCATTACTTAGAATTTGAAAAATAAATAGTTGACGACCAGTCAGACAGATAAAATATTTAAATGATCACACGGCAAATAAAATTAATTTTTGCGTAGTTGCATTTTTGAAACTTACAAATACATTTTTTTTAAATTTGCCTTTTAAATTGATTTATATTTTTTAAATTTCACTAAAATCGGAAACAAGTCAGACAATGTATAATGATTTAAAAAAAATGATGCATCTATATTTTAAAATTATTTACAGAGGTTTAATACAGACATTTTCAAATATATATTTATTTTCACTGCTACACATGTTTCGATAACATGGAATCTACCAAGTCCAATGGATAGCGAGCTTACGTCTGAAACTATCACTTCTGCATTTGCTTGTTTCTTTGTGTTTTGCAAAGTTCTTAGTTTACGTGCTAAGTTCCATCAGGACGTGTGCGATCCTGGTTCACCAGAACGTCCTCTCGCTTGCTGTTCTTAGGAACGATTGACACTTTACAATCCGTCTTTGATACCGCTCTGATATCCATTTGTCCAAACTCATCAGGTAGCTTACTCGATCATGACTCTCCACGACTTTCTGTCCTTTCTAGCTCTAAAAAATGTTTGACTCATTACAATCTGTCTTTGACACCGCTCTGATATCAATTCGAACAAACTCATCAAGTATGTGACACGATCATGGCCCTCCATGTTCTCTGAAACTCTAAACAATGTTTTACACTATACCGCCCGTCTTTGTATCCGTTCTAACATCTATACACGTAATCCTCGTACTATATCCCATCTCTTATTTCATCTGTTATTTTCTGATATATCCTGGATAGGGGTATAATTGAACGAAGTATCCAAGTGGTTTTGGCTACTATAACCAAGTATAATATGGTAGCAGTAATCGACAATTTTGGGGGACAATAATGATTTACCGATACATGTCCTACTAATTAACCCATAGCTGGAGGAGAACAGATGGATTCATACCTTTTCCATGGATATTTGCACGGAAGTAAATATAACGAACCCGACTGGCTCTGTATTTCCCAAATCCGAGCCCTTATCCTATGACACCAGCAGCACGTCCAAGTTCACAACATCTAGTATTCTCACGGGGCCACCGATCTAGGTACTGACCAAGCTCGACATTGTTTAGCTTCGGTGATCTTCCGAAAACCGGTGTTTCAACGTGATATGGCCTTAAGTCAATACGACTACTACTACTAATAATAATAATAATATAAGTTGATCACGTCTGTAATATAAGTTGATCACGTCTGTTCTGACGAACAGCATTTACTCCTTTTTCGAAACAAACAGCATTCTTCCGCTGGAACAGAAGGGATGCAGGAGAGGTTCATATGGCTGCAAAGATCAACTACTGATAAATAAAATGATCCTGGAGAATTGAAGAAGAAGACGCAGAAGTCTTAGCCGAGCGTGGATTGATTATCGTAAAGCCTTTGATAGTTTTCCACATCCTTGGATCCTTAAGACTTTGGAAATGTACAAAGTCTCCCCTGTGGTATTAAATTTCCTTAAGCACAGCATGGGAATGTGGAACACCAAACTATACCTTAGTCACACCGGAGACACTGCCATATCCAACCGACTAAATATCCGACGTGGAATCTTTCAAGGAGACTCTCTGTCACCCTCTGTTTTGTTTATCCTTAATCCCTCTTACACATGAACTGAACAACAGTAGCTATGGTTACAAAATAAATAAGAAAATATTCAATCACCTACTCTACATGGATGATCTCAAACTCTTTGCCAAAGACGACAATGAATTGAAAGGCCTCCTCAATATTGTAAAATACTTTAGTGACGACATAGGTATGGACTTCGGATTAGATAAATGTGCAAAAGTAACATTCAAGAAAGGTAGAATTACAGAAACACCCTTAATAAATTTAGATTTTGTCACAAAGATTAGGGAACAGGAGCATGATAAAGCTTATAAGTACCTAGGAATTAGCGAAGATGGCATACAACCCCCCCTCTCAAATGAAGGAGAATGTAAGAAAGGTGTACTACAGGCGTGTACGTCTGGTACTAAATACCGAGCTAAACTCAAAAAACAGGATATCAGCCATAAACACGTTGGCTGTCCCTGTGGTGCAATACAGCTTTAATGTCCTTAACTGGACCACAGCTGAAATTAAGCAAATGGACGCCAAAACGAAAAAGCTTCTCACTTGATACCGCATGCATCATCCCAAAGCTGATGTTGATCGGCTGTATGTGCCCAGATCCGAAGGAGGCAGAGGATTATTTCAACTAGAACTATCCAACAAAACTACAACAATTGTCCCCCAAAGATACTTGGAAACTACAGAAGACTGGATGATGGTATGCGTCAAGGAACATGAAAGTAGTAAACGTCTTTACTCCGTAATGAAAGAAGCCAACAAATTCAAAATGGAGTTTCAAATGGGCGTAGAGATGCAACTACAGCGCAATACACTGGCTGAAACTGCAAAATACTTAAAAAAGACAGTAAAGACAAATGCAACCGACCACTTACAGAAGCGATGGCAAGATAAACCGCTTCATGGCCAATACTCTGCTCGTACCAACCAAGCTGACGTAGACAAAACCCGTACCCATCAGTGGCTACGTAGTGCAGGGTTGAAAGCGGAAACTGGAGATTTTATCCTTGCTGCACAGGGCCAATGCTTGTTAACTAGGAATTATCAAGCACATATACAAAAATATTGTCAGCCCAAAATGCAGATTCTGTGATAAATATCCAGAAATGATTGATCATCTTGTATCAGGTTGCAGGATATTGGCACCCACTGAATATAAAACCCAACATGACAGAGTGGGCCAATATCTGCACTGGAAAATCTGCAACTTCTACGGGAAGGAAACTGAAAGAAACTGGTATGAACACCACCCAGAACCGGTTACGGAGATAGGACCTGTTACAATTCTATGGGACTACACAATACACACTGACAGAACATTCAAGGCCAACCGCCCAGATATTGTTATTAAAGACCACAAACAAAAACGGTGCCTCCTTATTGATATGGCAGTCCCTGCTGTCTGCAATGTATCTTTGAAGATATTCAAAAAGTTGTCAAAGTACAAGGACCTTGAAATAGAAATCTCGAAAATGTGGCACATGGGAACATCAACAATCCCGTTGTAGTTGGAGCCCTAGGACTGGTTGGAAAAGATTGCAGTAGACTAATTGAAGGGATTCCTGGAAGTCCATGCCTCAAAGAGATACAAAAAATTTTCACAAGTACATCCCACACTTTACGAAGGGCTTTATCTATGTAATTTTTTTTTTTTTTTTTTTGTCAGTGTAAAGTGTCATGATGCCATTTCTAACCTTAGGTCCCTGGGCGGGACACAGAAAGAAATGTGTAAACGCCAGATATCAAAGGAAATAATAATAATAATAATAATAATAATAATAACCGGCGTTACTTTTCCTTTATTTTGTAACACACCCAGAAGTGCGTGATTTAAGAAAAGGAAAACAAAACAAAAAACAATATTTCGACAGTATATTTGTCTTCTTCAAGTTATGTTTAAAACGTTATTTTTTAATATCTTCTTTATGTATTTTGTATATTTTTATCCCAATGTTTCGGCCGATATACTCTCTGGCTGTCCTCAGGCGTATACTGAATCTATTGGGGTTATATACATATAAAGTTTAGGGATTCTCAAATTTCGTGCCGCGTCACACTAGTGTGTTCACGCGTTCTACTTAAATGTGCCACGAAATATTTTCTCTATATATATATATATATATATATATATATATATATATATATATGTGTGTGTGTGTGTGTGTGTGTGTGTGTGTGTGTGTAAGTAATAATGATACATTTTTAATATTTGAATAAATGAATAAACGTTTTAAAAATTAGAATTAAGCTTCTCAACCCTCAATAACATCTAAAATAAGAACCAAGTAAGACTACGCTCATCTGAAGAACAAATAAGGGCTTGTTTATCGCACATTCGACAAAACATTGAAGAAATTACGAAAAAAGCATTAGGTACAGGTCTCACACTAAATAAGCTGCAGAAATTGTTTAATAGAAACATTGGTGTAACGTTCATATTTGTGTGCATTTTTGTTTTAAATCTATGGTTTAATTTCATAACATTTAAATATATGCCCTTTAAAATTTTGCTAAGTGTGCCTTGATATTTTCATTTAACCCTAGGTGTGCCGTTGCTTAAAACGGCTGAGAAACTCTGTGTTATGGGAAAACTCCCAGCAGATATGTCTTAAAACTTAAAAGCGCATTTTCTCATGTAAAAAATTCAGACATTTTAAGAGAATTAGGTTTGCTTCTAAAAGTTGTTATTCATTAATATGTTTTGGCCGATATACTGATATACTGCCTGGCATTAAACGTTTTAAAAATTAGAATTAGGCTTCTCGGCCCTCAATAACATCTAAAATAAGAACCAAGAAAGACTACACTCATCTGAAGAACAAATGAGGGCTTGTCTATTGCACATTCAAACGAACATTGAAGAAATCGCGAAAAAACATCAGACTAAATAAGATACAGAAATAGTTGAATAGAAACATTGAAACAAAGTAATTTCATATGTGTGCAGTTCCCTCTCCCCCCCGCCTCTCTCTCTCTCTCTCTCTCTCTCTCTGTTTAAATCTATGATTTTATTTCATATGTGTGCAGTTCCCTCTCCCCCGCCTCTCTCTCTCTCTCTCCCTCCCTTTTTAAATCTATGATTTTATTTCATATGTGTGCAGTTCCCTCCCCCCCGCCTCTCTCTCTCTCTCTCCCTCTCTGTTTAAATCTATGATTTTATTTCATATGTGTGCAGTTCCCTCTGCCCCGCCTCTCTCTCTCTCTCTCTCTCTCTCTCTCACTCTCTGTTTAAATCTATGATTTTATTTCATATGTGTGCAGTTCCAGTCTCTCTCTCTCTCTCTCTCTCTCTCTCTCTCTCCTCTGTTTAAACCTATGATTTTATTTCATATGTGTGCAGTTCCTGCCCCCCTCTCTACCTCTCTCTCTCTCTCTCTCTCCCTGTCTGTTTAAATCTATGATTTTATTTCATATGTGTGCAGTTCCCTCCCCCCTCTCTCTCCCTCACTCTCTCTCTCGCTCTCTCTCCCACTCTGTTTAAATCTATGATTTTATTTCATATGTGTGCAGTTCCTCCCCCTCTCTCCTCCCCCTCACCCTCTCTCTCTCTCCACTCTCTCTCTCTCTCTCTCTCCCTCTGTTTAAATCTATGATTTTATTTCATGTGTGCAGTTCCTCTCCCCGCCTCTCTCCCTCTCTCTCTCTCTCTCTCTCTCCCTCTCTGTTTAAATCTATGATTTTATTTCATATGTGCAGTTCCCTCCCCCGCCTCTCTCTCTCTCTCTCTCTCTCCCTCTCTGTTTAAATCTATGATTTTATTTCATATGTGTGCAGTTCCTCTCCCCCCCTCTCTCTCTCTCTCTCTCTCTCCCTCTGTTTAAATCTATGATTTTATTTCATATGTGCAGTTCCCTTTCCCCGCCTCTCTCTCTCTCTCTCTCTCCCTCTCTTTTTAAATCTATGATTTTATTTCATATGTGTGCAGTTCCCTCTCCCCCGCCTCTCTCTCTCTCTCTCTCTCTCCCTCTCTGTTTAAATCTATGATTTTATTTCATATGTGTGCAGTTCCCTCTCCCACGCCTCTCTCCCTCTCTCCCTCTCTCTCTCTCTCTGTTTAAATCTATGATTTTATTTCATATGTGTGCAGTTCCTCTCCCCTTTCTCTCTCTCTCCCCCTCTCTCTCTCTCCCCTCTGTTTAAATCTATTTTTATTTCATGTGCAGTTCCCTCTCCCCGCCTCTCTCCCTCTCTCCCTCTCTCTCTCCTCCCTCTCTCTCTCTCTCTCTCCCTCTGTTTAAATCTATGATTTTATTTCATATGTGTGCAGTTCCCTCTCCCCGCCTCTCTCCTCTCTCCCTCTCTCTCTCTCCCCCTCTCTCTCTCTCTCCCCTCTGTTTAAATCTATGATTTTATTTCATATGTGTGCAGTTCCCTCTCCCCGCCTCTCCCTCTCCTCTCTCTCTCTCTCTCTCTCTCTCTCTCTCTCTCCCTGTTTAAATCTATGA